TTCATGTCTCTAGGTGGCATGACTTTGAGATTTGCTTGTGTGAATATAATTTTTTGCTTAGTACCTTTGTTCCAGCAAGCCCATGCACATGCTTGCCTCAACAGTGTCGTATAAATTGAAACACCAAGCAAGCTTCTTGTATTGTAGCTGTAATCAATTGGGTCTATGTCCTGTATGGCCACCATTTGCTAATGTAAATACTTTATTAACTTTAATAACAAAAAGTGATTAAAAAAATATGGCTAATCTAGGCTGGGTTAACTCCATATAAACAGACCAAAAGTAGGCTGTCAGTCTGTCTTAGAGTGAAAGACATCTTCCAAAAGTTTTTTTTATAAAGCTCAATGTCATGATAGCAAAAATTTTATTATAATACAAGAAAATGGAACATACCATAGTTAATAGAATAGATGGTTTGGAAACTCATTAGAATAAGAATATAACTCATTATCTATGTTAGTCAACGTTTACAGAGGTGTAACTTGACACTTGCTCGGGGCAAGTGAATATCATGACAGGCAAGTGAACGTTTTATCTTGCTTGCCCGATTGGGCAAGTTGCCTCTTGCCACAAAAAGCTCGGCTTTCATTATCGGATAATTTTTTTATGGCGCATGTACTTGATTCAAATTTAGTTTTTTGTGGGCCAAAGCTAGATCTAAGGCAGTATAACATAGCCATATAGAGCAGTGGGAGAATGAGTCGACATGTTGCCCCCTTGATTTATACCCCCTGGCAAATGAATTTTATTCAGGGCAACTAATTTTCATGTCCAGTTAACTTGCCCTGATAGCAAGTGGTCAAAAAATGAAGTTACACCACTGGTTTATTCATAAATCTGGTCTCTGTATTTTTGCCCAACTAACCAATAGCAATGTGTTAAGAAAGTTACCTATCTGTGACTCGAACAACAGGGTAAATTGAAAATTGCAAGAATACAAGGTGGATTTGGCAAGAATACAATACACATGAGGATGAAGGACCAGATTTATGAATAAACGTTGACTAACATAAATAATGAGTTTCAGCCAAACCATCTATTCTATTAACTGTGATGGAACTCGTTATGTGCAGATTTGTTAAATGGATGAGCTAATTTGATTGAGGTCAACTGCTACTAATGGGCAATGGTCTATTTGTGTTAATAAATTATCTAGGTGACTAGGTCTAACATTTTATACTAAACAACAAATAGATCTAACATTTATTAATTAAACAACAAGTAAATTGTGCTCCTTATTCATTGTTAACAAAAATTTGAAAGAAAAATTGCCTATTCACATTGTAAAGCTAAAATTATGTACATAATTTCAGTAATAAATAAAATAAACAACTTTACCACGGACAAGTCAAGTGAATCTTTGTGGATATAGTGACAGTCTTTGCAATTTCACATCAAGGTGAGGCAAAAAACCCAAAAGTTGGTGCAATAACGAATAGTAGATTAGTTCCTGATTATTTACAAACATGTATTATTATTACCTTTTGCATTTTAATATTGTGAAAAATATCTATATTTTTATTTATTTCTGTATATTTTCCTCAGAAGAATGATAAAAATGTGTAATACCGCGTGCAACCCCCTGCTAAGAGACTTGAACTAGTACAATAATTTATATAACATGAAGCTTCCTGAACAAAATGTCGGAAATTTTAATAAAAAATGTTGATGTTTGATCGTAAAATACAAAAAAAACTACAGGTTTGTGCGAGTGACAACAAGTGAATTCTTACTCAGCGTATAAAAATCTATAGGAATATGTGAATTTAAAGTAGTGCCCGAAAGGGGGCAACAAAACTGAACGAAAAGCGGTCAGGGAATACGTACAGCCTAAGATTTCGGCGGATGATTGGCTGATATTGGCATGAGATGCTAGATCTTGTTTGTGTTTTATCATTATAGTGCTTTAGGCCATACTCGAAGCTGGCGTACTTGTAGTAGAGACGATGCTTTATTCTCTAAGCCAGGTACAACATACTCGACACTTACAAACTTAAGTGGGATGTGTGTTGGTATAACTTGAGTGGAAGGAATCAAGTGTCTGTCTGCAATTTTGCCGATGGCCACCAGTAACGTCAATCCTCCTACGTACATCTTTCAGTACTATATCACTTTAAGACAGAAAAACAAATTGTGATTAACCAACAATTTTAAATTAATTAATGAATGTTGTTATCTATATCTTAACATGATTGACTAGGCAATGTGACAATAATCTCAAACATTAGGGCCATGTGTATAGTAGCTATTTATGAGCTATTTACAGTACTGCCTAGAAATAAATTAACACTGCGGTTCAGTTGCGGTTCGTGGTCGCGGTTCGTGCAATTTGTGGTCACGGTTCATGCAATTTGCAGTTGCGGTTCGTCCGGTTTTTGCACCGACCGCAGAAAACCATGACGTTGTGTTCTGACGTTTCCCCGACTACAACGGTTATCATACGCTTTCTAATTACAAATACAATTATTTCTAATTATATTTCAATATTGCGATTAGATTTGTAGGTCTTTATTATATACTATTTCAAACACTCATTAATAATTCATAAGCTTATTGGCAAATCATGTAAACTATAACATGTCACGTGCAGTGGCTTTAAACCTGATAAAACACTCCTAATTAGTTTTCTTTATATAAAGAATACTAATAAGGCAGTATCTATTGTTGTCGTGTCCTCATTAGTATTTTTTATATAAAGAATACTAATAAGGCGGTATATCTATTGAATTTGTATAGTCGTGTTTGAAGCCGTTTAATAAACTCGCAGGTCGTGTTTTATTAGGTCTAAAGACACTCACGCTGTGCGCTCGTGTCTTTAAACCTAATAAAACACTCATGCACGTTTATTAAACGGTACGTAAAACATGCCCTATAGTATAGTTATTTATCATCATTATCATAAACAGAATTATTGTAATGTTATATATACTCAATTCAACGGGCAAAAATATGATAGCAAATGTTTTACGATCAAATAACGTTTTACTATCAAATAATGTTTTACTGTCAAATAATGTTTTACTGTAATCTAGCATACACTGCTAACTGTCCCAGTGAATTTATTAAGCTACCAAACTATCAACACTATCACTGATAAATGGGTTTAGCACATTTATATGAATTTTGTCCACTTATATTTTTAATTTAATATTGAGGGATAAATATTCTGTGATCTTTGTGTGATAATTGACATTGAATGATAATTTCCCTCGCGCAAGCTTTAATGTTACGTTTATGGCACAGATCATGCATTTGAATCTGGATAAAGTTGCTATATGAGTTTGATACCCGTATAAAATAAATTTCATCTGGGAAATTACACCAAGAAATTGAAACAAAGCTCGATCGAGTACTGAGAAATTAGGAATGCATTTTATCAATAAGTTACAACGGCTTGGAAAATCGACTTAGTTGCGCTTTTACTGATTCAAGTACTGTTTAAACTCGAACAGATATACATCAGATTAGTAATTTGTTTCCCTCACAGAAGGCTTTCGTCGTTCCTCAATTTAGCGATCAGATATATTGTACCTTTCCATACAATAACACAAGCAGTACATGTATATCAGTGGCTATATACTGTACTGTAGGTAAGGTATCCAGTCAAAACGTCCCCAGGTTAAAACGTCCCCGACTCTGCACAGTCAAAACGTCCCCAGGCCAAAAACCCCTAACTCTTGTGTTCAAATAAATTGAACTGCAAATAAATTATAAAAGAATAAACATGTTCACAGACATAGGGTTATGACATGGGAGTATGTAACTCTGAATTAATTGCTTTATTTGGCAATGAACTTATTCGCAAATAATTGTAATAGTGCCAAGATTTCGGAAGATTTCAGAATGTTTTAGTGTTAGGAAATTTAAGCCAACTGTCATGATGCATACATACACTCACCAAATCACCAATATAAGTAAAGCATTTTGCTGGATAAAAGACTGTAGGACTTCAAATATTGCCATGGCGGTAAAGTCAAACATATATACCATATATATAAACAATTTTTTCTTAGCAAAGTACACTTACCATTCACAATACTGTATTATGACTTGTCCATCAGCAAATTACTTATCCATCAGCAAATTAGGAACCTCGTATAATTAATAATCCTATTACCACTGTGCGGGTATTATAATTATCCCTTAAGTTTCCTTGTGATTTTAAGCGTGACCCCTCACTCCAAACCCAAAGGCTTGGCCATTGTTAGCAACACTCACAGCCTATGGCTTTGACAACGTTCATTTAAGATGCCTCGAACATGACTACACAGTTATATTTCAATATGAATAAATTAAATTGACACTTTACACTGCAAAAAATGAAATGCCTATTTTAAGAAAAAAAAACTTGTTTCAAGCAAATATAAACCAAGAAATATTATCTTGTCCCGTGCGTAACATAAATTTTCTTGTCAAGATTTCAACAAACGAGAAAAATATTCTTGATTTAAGAAACAATATCTTGTCAAGAAAATCCTAATAAGATTTTGTCCCGTACGTGACAAAATTTTTCTAGGTAAGAAAATTATCCTTGAATTTAAGAAATTATATGTTATCAGAATAGAAAAATTTTCTTTATAAAATCTTAGCAAGATTTTTTTTTCTATTTATCCCATTTTTCCTCATAGCAAAATTATTCTTAAATTAAGATAATATATCTTACCAAAATAGAAAAATTATCGTGTCGAGATTAAATTCCCATGCATTTGTTTTGCGTGGCAGGATAGTATACCGGTATATTTAATCAATAAGGTTTATTATACGTATTATACACATGACAAAATATTTTAACTAACAATGCTTAACTAAAAAAATACTCTGCATAATCTAAAAAGTATCAAGCAATAGTTCGAAAGCGATAGTTGCTGAACATTATAACGTTTGCTGCAGATTCGTGTCCCCGTAAAAGAACGCCCAAAACAAGATTAACAATAAAGCAAACAACAGTTTTTTCTGGATACATTGTCGTGGAAAATGGAAGTATAGAATAAGAACACCTGTTACTCGGTGAAGCATTCAAATTGTTTTATAGCCTTCTTGACATCGGCATCGCAATCCGGATGAATTTGATTGTCCTTGAATATTAGCTGCTGCAGGAACGACATACTTGCAAGCCAGTTAGTTGGGTAGTCCATATCCAGCAAGTAAAAGGTCGCAAGGAATGCAACCACTGCACGCAAAATTTCCTTTTCATTGAATGAAAGGAAAATCTCGTTTCCTAACAGCACCATCGCCCCGTTACTCTTCATAACCAACAAGCCAGGGACAAACGCTTGCCGTTTTTGTTGCCACTTGTCAGGTTCCTCGTCATCCTAACAATTACAACATAAACGTTCCTCGTGTGAAAACGGTGCATATATACAGTACGATCAAAGAGGCTTTTAACAAGTCATTCCCTTTTCACATGCACATGCACATTAGAACACATGCAAACCGAGCCATGCAAATAGTGTACAGTTTGAAACTATTGAGAATAAATTAACACCTAGATTTTTTGGGACAATTTCATTTTGTGTTCTTTCAAATGAGACAATATTATTTTTTATTGTCACATTCCTTTAAATTAACAGTAATCCTCATGTAATCCCTACCTCAATAAAATGGACAATGTCCACTTTCTGCTTTATCCTTGACTTAGATTTGAACATTAAGTTAATTCCTTTTAGCAAATGACATAATTTGCCGTCTAAAATACAGAATGGTGAGAAACATGAATATTTAAGGAATAAACAACACTTTAATACTAGGAACTCTGTATTCATTAGTCAGAATATAGGATTTTGCCACATTTCACCTGAAATATCTCCAAGACATTATTGATGATTTGAATAGTTAGATTGAACACAAAAGAGTTTTATTATTGGGAAATACACCGTACTCCAGGTCGAAGTCAATACACGCTTCCGGGAAGTACGTCACCATACAGTAGCTACAGAGCTTCGTTTTAGTGATTCAGACATTGACTTTAGCCGATGTCAGATACACGACAATAATACGCGGCATCTTAAATGTCTTTTTACACGATCCAATTCTGTCGGATCAAATTCTGCTTCTGATGCATGTAATGTTTTCCATTTACTGACAAAGGACTTGGTTTACGTAGTTGCTCAATTGTGTCGCTATAACATCGCAATTACGTGACTATAAAACATACATACATCAGAAGAAGAATCGGACCCGACACAATTAGATCATGTGTTCCAGCCTTTAGTCTATCCATTAGAAACTTCAATCGATAAAGCCTAGCAAACCAAATTTTGAATTATAGCGTATTACATAGCACTGACCCATCCCCCCCTCCCTTAAATCATAGCATGTCTCTCATTGTCATATATCTGAGTCATCACTCTACTCACCAACAGAAGAACATCTGGGAGGTTGAAGATCACCCATAGAAATACCATAGTAAATCAAATTGTCTACATTCTTTTCCAGCGTTTTGACGCAATTGTTCATGAATGCTTCAGGGGTCTTTTCCTCATGAAAACCAAGATTTCTTCTTACCTCCTCAACAACCTGCCAGTTAAATATTTAATTAGTTGCAGACTGGAAAGACTAAATTATTAAAATTTAAAAAAAGCATTAAATCCCCACAGCGGATTGAGGACAGGATATTGAAAGTAAAGAAAGCATTAACCTATTTATTATATACATGACAAAATTACTGCAGTCTGATTGGTTAAGAGGAGTGCAATTATTTCATTAATTATTTATCTTCTGTAATCAGTGGCAAATACTGCAATTTCATTGGTTTACAGGAGTGCGATTTGAGCATTAATTATTTATCTTCTGTAATCAGTGGCAAATACTGCAATTTCATTGGTTGACAGGAGTGCGATTTGAGCATTAATCGCACCTTTTCTGAGCTGTAATCGCACTCTTGTCTACAGCCAATGAAAATCAGTCTAGTATTTACAACTAGCCAATCAGCATTCAGGATACAAACTTTGAATTTTATTTTCTTTGTTGCTGTAAAAAATTTCAAAATGGAGGAATTCACAAATTTTGAAAATTTTGACCTTTTAATTTTTAAATCAGCCCTCGAAAACCGGCAAAATTGAGGTCGTAAAAAATATGCCGACCTAAATCTGACCTAGCTTGGCACATCTCGGCATTTTTTAAAATCTGTTTCCATGTTTTGGAGCACTAGTAGCCTGCACTAGTAATCACGTATTTACGAATCATTGAAAAGTATAAATGTCACGAAGGCTTTTCTTTTAGAGTCTTACCTAAATTATATCATAATACCCGTTAATTCTTAAACCTTACACCAAAGTGTATCGAATTCTATAATCGCTGACTTTTTAACAGCTATCAGCACCAAAAACGTTTCTTACTTTGGTTGAATTAAGGTCGGCAAAACATTGCCGACCTGGGAGGTTGATAGGTCGGCATTTAATAGGTCGGCATTGCCGAATACCGACCTCGCTTTCTAGGGCTGTTAAATTATATATTTTCTGACGAAAATGACCTACCTGTTCTTCCAGCAGAAGACACCAAACTAGACACAACCAGGAGTTATATTCACATTAAAATGAACTAAAGAACTTCACTATTTTGAACACGTTATAAACATACAAACATGGCTTCCCAATTGTGTGTTGAATATTGAATAATTCAAACAATGTTGTCATGTGATTATACCGGAAATAATACCCGGAAGTTAATAATATGTTAATTTTTATGATAAATTTAATTCAAAATTGTACTATTTCACTAAGAATTGTCGTGACAAAAATTTAATAATTATATTGAATTTCAACAAATTGTATTTTTGTGCTTTTCTCCCTTATTAAACAGTTTGATTAAAGAAGATAAATAATTAATAAGTAATAGAACGAATTAAGTCGTACTATTAATGCCATAATCATACTCGTGATTAACAAATCAACCTCCCGCTACGCGGTCGGTTGATTTTGTAATCACTCGTATGATTATGGCATTAATAGCACTCCTATTCGTTCTATTACCATCATTAATCGCACCTTTTCTGAGCTGTAATCGCACTCTTGTCTACAGCCAATAAAAATCAGTCTAGTATTTACACTAGCCAATCAGCACTCAGGATACAAACTTTGAATTTTATTTTCTTTATTGCTGTAAAAAATTCAAAATGGAGGAATTCACAAATTTTGCCCTTTTAATTTTTAAATCAGCCCTCGAAAACCGTCAAAATTGAGGTCGGAAAAAAAATGCCGACCTAAATCTGACCTATCTCGGCATTTTTTAAAATCTGTTTCCATGTCTTGGAGCACTAGTAATCACGTATTTACGAATCATTGAAAAGTATAAATGTCACGAAGCCTTTTCTTTTAGAGTTTTACCTAAATTATAACATAAATATACCCGTTAATTCTTAAACCTTACACCAAAGTGCATCGAATTAATAATCGCTGACTTTTTAACAACTATAAGAACCAAAAAGATTCTTACTTTGGCTGAATTAAGGTCGGCAAAACATTGCCGACATGGGAGGTTGATAGGTCAGCATTTTAATACTGAAGGTCGGCATTGCCGAATGCCGATCTCGTTTTCGAGGGTTGTTAAATTATATATTTTCTGACGAAAATGACCTACCTGTTCATCCAGCAGAAGACACCGAACTAGACACAATCCAATTCAGATGATTAATTGAACTAAAGAACTTCACTATTTTGAACACGTTATAAACATACAAACATGGCTTCCCAATTGTGTTTTGAATAATTCAAACAAATGTTGTCATGTGGTTATACCGGAAATAATGCCCGGAAGTTAATAATATGTTAATTTGATTATATATGATAAATAATAATTCAAAATTGTACTATTTCACTAAGAATTGTCGTGACAAAAATTTAAAAATTATATTGAATTTCAACAAATTGTATTTTTCTGCTTTTCCCCCTTAAACAGTTTGATTACAGAAGATAAATAATTAATAAGTAATAGAACGAATTAAGTCGTACTATTAATGCCATAATCATACTCGTGATTAACAAATCAACCTCCCGCTACGCGGTCGGTTGATTTTGTAATCACTCGTATGATTATGGCATTAATAGCACTCCTATTCGTTCTATTACCATCATTAATTGCACTCTCCAGGAGTGCAATTAATGATTTTCGTGATGGCTGGGGGGAGCGGGAAATCAAAACAACAAAATCCAATATGGCGGCGAAATTTAGATAAGTATTTCTAACAAATGTTGACGAATTTAACTGAATTTTGGCACAAGAATGAGTTTAAGAAACATTGTATGGCAAAAAGAGCCTGTGGAAAATACCAGGAAACACAGTCTTAAGAAATAATCTTGGCGGGATGCAGCGAAACGTGACTATGTAAGTTTGAGATACAATGTATAAAGATTTTCTTAGTCTAAAATATGTTGTTTGAGTTTGAATCTTGCGTTCTGGTTTAAGTTATGTGCCTTTATGAGTTTATAATCATTTCCCAAGTTTGTTTTTACCAAATTGCTTACAAAAGAATTAAAAACTCTTGACAAAATGCAGTTGATATATAAAGAAAGCGATTTTGTCATGCATATAATAAATAAATAATCACACGGGAAGGAGTGCAATTAATGATTAACACTACTCGTGATATTTGAAAAATGTGCCAAATTGCACTCGCCTCGGCGGCTCGTGCAATTTTGGCACATTTTTCAAATATCACTGAGGCGAGTGCAATTTGGCACATTTTTCAAATATCACGAGTAGTGTTAATCATTAATTGCACTCCTTCCCGTGCGATTACCCATACTAATATTGATTTCCCCAAGTTTTAATTCCTGTTCTTTTTCAATTTTGGATAATCTTTGTCTTGACCCTATTATCATGTATTCAGTTTTCATATTAAGTCATAAGTGCTTCAATACTTATCTTCTGTGTTTGTAACTTATCTTCTGGGCCTTTATAATTCTAATAGCCCTATGTAACTCCTTTCTACCTCAAACTATAATTTTGTGTATACAATTAATTTATTTTGTGGTATCACAACACGTTAATCTGACACGTTAATCTGATTGTGCAAAGCTTTTCTCACAAACTTTGGGCAACTTAATTCATTTTCACGTACAATTTCCCAATTTTTTAGTAAAATCTGCCCGACTTAAAAATTATTGGAAGGGATATCACAGCCCTTATCTGAGAGAATTGGCAAATGGAATCACCTTCCTAATTTAATATACACGATGTTGTACTGCAGTCCCATCTCTAAGAGCGCATGCATGTTCATTGGTTTGAGACAAGTTTAGACATGCAAGGATTACTATAAATATAAAATTCTTATTTCTAAGATTACCATATATATATATATATATATATAGCTAATGTTCACGAAAATCGTATAAATGACCATTTCTTGCCTTTATTTCCGCACTAAACAATGAAAATATAAAGTTTCTGAAACGTTCTCTGATCGTACAATTTAATTACACACCAGCTTTCGACTGCAGTCTTTGATAGGTCACTTTATTTATCAGTATCACTTTACCTGTCGTAGAATGCAGACTGGCAGTCGAAAGCTCGTGTTTAAATAAATGTTACGATCAGAGAACGTTTCAAAACTTTTTTTATGAATCCTAGTCGCCGTCTAGCATTTTTAATGAAATTATAGTTTTATATGTGGGTTTAAATACTCCAGCCGCTGAATTTGTCAATAAAATATAATATATATTCATTATGCTATAAAGCCACATTTCTACCAGTCTTCCGCGCACGAAACAACTCGCTAAGTGTTATCGCGCCATTAAAATAAACTTGTAATTAAAAATTCCGCCCATTGCCGCTCCATTCACACAATTTCCAGCCCGCGTAAGTAAGTTCGTCCGCGCCTTCCTATTGTTTAGACGCAATTAAATTCCGGCTATAGAATGCATGCACATGAAGACGAAATATATCGTGAAATTTTTTATCATGAAGGTGAGCCGGAGTAGTCCTCAAATACATTTTATATTATCTAGAGTATTTTTGTACTATGTTTTGGCAAATAAAGCGCTACTTTGCTTCGTGTTTACGTATAGGAACCGAATTACCGTGTGAACATTGAAAGCAGGCGGATGTATTTGCATTCCCGAATTCCTCATTTCCTCATCCCTTGCATAATGAATACAAATGTAAAAGCTTGGACAAACTTACCAGAAACTTTCACAGCTTCAAATTTTCCCCGCAACTAACTCTTTCGCTCTGTCAAAGAATGCCATTCTAACTAAATATATTACGAAAATTAAATCTCGTGATCAAACCGTGATGTCCTTATTTATACATAATTCTTAAAGCTTTTTCATTTCCTGTCTAGGAATTACGCAATATGATATTAAAAATACTTTATCTACAGTGTATTTGAGAGAAATAACAAGTATAAATCCCATTTGTTATTACTGAGAACATATATAAGTCGAATTTCTATAATTTGAGTATGTATATATAGCTTAAGACGTTCAGAATATGATATTTCGTGCACATAAAAGTGTATGTCATTTCGTGGAAGTGATATTTAATATTACGATGTAATAGAATACCGAGAAATCGAGATTTGATTACCCGAGATGACGTCATAAGTAAACCTGTTTAACTTAAATATAGAATTATGGCAATTTAGCATGTATGTATACGGAGCCGTATTAGTGTCATTGAAATATTGCGCTTGAATTTCATATTTCTCGACTTTTTTCTCGCGTCTAACATTTTTCTCGCGTCTGAAATTTTTTCTCGCGCGTGAAATTTTTTCTCGCGTCTAACATTTTGTCTAACATTTTTTCTCGCGTCTGAAATTTTTTCTCGCGTCTGAAATTTTTTCTAGGTTAGGATAAAACGCGGTTATGCACGGACAGATTGATGGCGGACGGACGGATGAGTGGCGGACGGACGGACGGATGGCTTTCAAAAACGTTTTTCAGTGTTTTTTTAGTCATATCCGCGTTTTATCCAAACGGATAAAACGCGGATGTGGTCCAGAAAACGTTTTTCAGCCCTTTTTAAGTCATATCCGCGTTTTATCCTTTTGGATAAAACGCGGATGTGGTCCAAAAATCTTTTTCAGCCCTTTTTAAGTCATATCCGCGTTTTATCTAAAAGAATAAAACGCGGATATGGTCAAAAAGACTCAAAAGAACGTTTTGTAAGGGCATATCTATATGTATAAAGAATATTGAATCAATTCCTAGCATTTGAACAAATAAAAATCAATGTCTCTTCGCTTAAATATTCAATGACAGATAATAGTTCTAAAATTACAATTTAGTTCTAATAAAGTTTAATTTAGTACGGTCAGTTATCTAGCATGTAGTACTCCAATTATATGCCAACGTAATGTGCGGTTTTTCAAAGGCTTTTCAATGCAGTTATCGGTTTAAATATACACACAATTCCCGTTAAGATGTGAGAATTTCCGTACGGTCTACTTTTACGTAAACACAAATTACAATTGCAACTTTCATGCTTACTGAATTTTCTGTGTTATCTGCATGGTATGTAGTGATCCAATTTTATGGCAATGTGATGCGCTGTTTTCCAATTAGGACTTTTCAGTTGTAGTTATCGGTTTAAATATATCTAAAATTCCCGTTAAGATATAACAATTTCCGTATACGGCCTACTTTTACACGAACGCAAATTACAATTGCAACTTTCATGCTTAGTTTTCTCAGTTATCTGGCATGTATAGCAATCCAATTTTATGCCAATCTAATGTGCTGTTTTTCAAGGGCTTTACAATGCAGTTATCGGTTAAAATATACCTAAAATTCCCGTTAAAATATGAAAATTTCTGTACGGCCTATACGAAATATACAATTGCCACTATCGGGATTAATTTTCTGTTATCCGACCGTGTAGTAATCTAACTTTATGCGGCCATTTTGGCATATATATTGGGCGGCATAAAATGCATTTTAAATCAGATTACTACACGACCGGATAACAGAAAATTAAACCTGAAAGTGGCAATTGTAATTCGCGTTTGCGTAAAAGTATAAGGCCGTACAGAAATTGTCATAAGTTTAACGGGGAATTTTAGGTATATTTCAACCGATAACTGCATTGTAAAGCCCTTGAAAAACAGCACATTAGATTGCCATAAAATTAGATTACTACATTCCCAGATAACAGAGATAATTAAACCTGAAAGTTGCAATTGTACCTAATTATCAAGGGCGAATAATGTTCACGACCAATCAAAGCATTTGTTTACCTTTTGGCACTAAGCCAATCAGAACGCGTACATTTTTACTACTTCCGGTTTAGACGCTTATTTCAACACGAAAATTAGGGTCGTAAATAAACCCTTGGAGGCGCCTGGATTTTTAATTTTTTAAGCTTATTTCAATGAAATCCTATAAAATATAAAATTTTCGAAACATTTGCCGTTGGGATTTGCGTTTAATGGCTTAGTTTTGAAATTATCCTCATTCAAAAAACGGCGTATGCAAGGTCACTCTCGAATAGGTCAAAAGCGTGTTATGATTCTAAAGGAAGTGAAGCGAAGGCTTATATCCGGAAATATTTAAGAGTGGCTTGAGGCATTGAGAAAGAAGGCATTTTCACTGCAATTTTGGAGTTAAATTTTCTGGCAATCGATCACTACACGACTATAATTTTGCCAGCGGTGGCATATAGCACTAATGAGTAATGTAAAGTAGAAGAATCGACGTCAGTTCAATGAATGGCGCAATTATAATTTCTTTTCGAAATTTATGATTGGCTCGTTTGGCCCAAGCTTTTGACTTGAGAGGATTATTATTTGAAAAATGAGCAAGCACTGATGTATCGTACTTGGTAGGTTTAATACACTCGAGGTGGAAAGAGCGTCCACAGCCTCGAAAAATGCGACACAAAGGACTATCACGACTGCATTCGATCACTGATTTTTAGATCAGTCCATTCGATCTTATCACATTTGCTGTGTCAATGGAAATTGAAGGTAATAATATCAAACATATTATATATTTCATGCTTTATGATTCATATACATTTTATAGGCTGTCAGTATATTAAAAGATTCATATTTTTTCGAGCACCAGATTGTCAGTCAACAGAGGGTTACTTATTTGCTTTAGTACGCAGTTTTCCCTACGTGTTTTACATAATTGTAGAAAATAGAAAGACCACAGTGTATATTTTTAGGATCATGGAATCAATTAACTATTTACTAAAGCATATAAAACTTGTGATAGTGATGCAGTGTAATTATACTGAACTTACATAATTGTTGGGTTAGGAAGTCTTTCCACTGATGAAAAGTCCAATGTAAGAACTTGGTTGGTGACAACCATGCTTCCAACGTTAACAAATTTGGTAGTTTCCGCTTTCTTGTCACCTTGTTTTGCCCATGCACCTCTTGACAGTAACACAGCCTGACCAGGATTATCATGGAGAACTCCAATTGTTCAGTGTGAGAAATTCAGCAGCCTTGACCTTTCAAATATTTAGAGATTGACTTATGTCATTGTAATCATGACAAGGCAATGGTAGTGGTTCTCTCTCATTTCATGTATTGGCAAGAGAACAACCATCCCATGTACCATACACTACATCAAGCATTGGTAGCTTTCAACAAGCACCCTATTGAAAATTTCCACCTGTTTTGTGGGCATGGGCTAAGGGGCCGACTACATGGGGCATTTTCAACCCCAGAGTTGAACTCAACCCTGTTGACCAGGTTGAAATTTCAGCCCTGTCTGTAATACAAAACTCTATCACAATCAAACGCACAATTACATGACAAAATTGCCAGGCTAGGGCTGAGTTTAACCCAGGGGTTTCAACCCTGCTTCAGTTAGCAGGGACTCGGCCTTGAGTTCAAAATCTTGTCATGCAATCATTTCAAATCAGGGCTGAAATTATTCATGAGTTGTTCAAGCTTGCATGGTAGTGACTATTTATTACAAGCAACAACATTGAGGCTATGGACCTGCCTTTTTTACTTCCGGAAATCAACGCCAGGATACGTACAACATTTCAATCCCGGGGTTGAAATCGTCCATGTAATTGCAAAAAATTCAACCCAGTTAACAGAACTGAGTTCACTCCCGGGGTTGTGTAATATGACACCCTAATACCACAGAACAGGGCCGCAGAGATGTTGCGCGCGGCCCAGGGCAAGACTGTCCCAGGGGCCCCTATGAGGTCATAATTGTAAAATGGAAGAAGCGGTGTTTTACAATATATTACACTTTATTGCATACTATCCCCGCCTAATACAGCTAGGATTTATATTCTTAGTCAAGCAATATTGTATCCATAAATTTTAAGGGCCTTTGTTGCTTTGGGGCCCCTTTTGAGCTGGGGCCCCGAGGCAAAGTG